TATGCGGAAAATGTGTATATAATGTAATTATTGCAACATAAAATAAAAAAAATCAAATATAATTCTGATATTTTGTTAATAAAATGATTCTTAGTGAAATATCATTTACATATACTATTTATTTACATAATTTTCGAATTATATAGTAAATATTATTTATTATAAAACAATAAGCTTATAACTGCAACTACTATCCTTATCGTTTAAACTTTATATTAACTTTTTAGTTTGATAGTTCTTAATTAAATTTTAAGAAAATAATCGAGCACATTTAATATTTTCATTTAAACTTAAATATAAATATATTATAAAATAATTTTGTCATTCATTTGGAAAATATAATATTTATACACATAACATTTAATATAAGAAATGAGGTTTCTATTGTTCTCATTGTTTGTAATAACTGATCTGATTCCTTACTCACTTACTGAACACTGTGTATATTATTTATATAATCAATTAACAAAGTATAATATGATCAACAATGAAATAAACGTAGACAATAGTCATTGTTAGTCAAATATTTCAACGAATATTGAAGAATAGTTCATAACAAATATTGTGAGTATAAAAATAACACAACTAGAGTAATAGGCGTAGTAACCTAATGTGGTAGAGGGACCACAAAAAAATTATATTTAATCATTTAATTTTTATAAGCATTGTATGTATTTGTGACGTAGAACTGAATCACCTACATACACATTTTATAAGTGCCATCCTTTTTATTTATGTTTCAAAAATCCTGACGTGCAAGTTAAATATATTGTATAAGTACAAAAATAAGTATTCGATATTTATTCAAAGAATTTACAATTTATAATCTGAAAAAACACCTTTCTGACATTTTCTATACATTTAAGAACCATTATGGCGATGTCAAATGCCTACATATCTAAAACACTCGGTACACATCATAAATAATACCGATTTTCTATAGTTATGTTTCAATAGTTAACGTGCAATAGAACCGATTATAACCCAAATATGTCTCTTCTATGATGTTTATATATTTTTTTGAAAAAAAAAAAAAAAAATCGTTTTACGTAGTATACACAATCTAAAGTTTTATTTCAAGTTTTTATTACTTTCATACGAATTCCCGTCAGATATTTTACAAAACAAGTGTGCTAAAAATACGTTAAAGAAAATAAGTGTATCCGTATTGAATNCGTCAGATATTTTAAAAAACAAGTGTGCTAAAAATACGTTAAAGAAAATAAGTGTATCCGTATTGAATGCAAGTGAAGTATTCTATTACTTTTGAAGATTGTATTTTAAATACATGTTAAATACTCTTGTATGGTATTTTGGAATACAAAATAATTTTTTTAATATTAGAAAACAATTTGTTCGTTTTACAATTTATTTAAATTTACACAAGGTTTTTTAAAAACAAAAGCCATATTTTCTAATAAAAATGTTATAACATATGTATAACAGAAAATAGTTAACTTCTTAAAATATTATTCATTTATTTTATTTGTAACTATCATT